AARRAARAAATCAAAGAGYGCACAGWGTTCCTTTCTAGTCASAGAAGGAGATGARAACATGTGAGAAACAACATGGAGATACYAAGGTCWGTGGAGAAGGAGGRGGAAGAGSTGAGAACSCTCTGCAGGCCRTRGTGAAGACCATGGAGGGGCAGCTGTGTCCCTGCAGCCCWTGGGGCCCACGGGGGATGCAGATCCACCCACAGCCCATGGGGAGGTGCCCACGCTGGAGCGGGTGGATGCCTGGAGGGGACTGTGGTCAGTGGCAGACCCACTGAGAGAGGGGCCCTGATCCCAGGCTGGAGCAGCCTGGCCTTGGAGGACTGCACCCYATGGATGASTGACCCACTCCGAAGCAKTCTGGGAGGAGTGTCTGCCCGTGGGAGGAGACTCACATTGCAACAGTTTTGGGACAACTGCTGCTCATGAGATTTGGATTCTCGCTGGAGAATTGTCTCCCGTGGGAGAGACCCTGCATCGCAGCAGGGGAAGTAGATCCTGGTGACAGACTGATCAGTGACCTGTCCCCCAGCGTTGTCGGTGGGAAGTAGGAAGGGAGGGAGGGAAGAAATGGTGTYTTTAAGGGTTTCTTTTACTTATCATCTTCTGCTGTCCTATTAGCAGTAAATTCACATKGTAACTCTAAGCTGAGCCTGTTTTGCCCTTGGAGTGTTTCCTCCCAGTTTCTTATCTCAACTCATGAATGCTTTTTAAAATTTTTTCCCCTCTTCTGCCTAGCTCTGGCAGGGGAGAGTGAGTGGGTAGCTGTTGTGGRTGCCTGACATTTGGCCAGGCTCAAGCCATGACAGGCTGGATGAAGCACTTGGTGCCACAGTCTAGCTTACAGGGTGGTATTTGGTCATAAATTGGACTTGATGATCTCACAGGCTTTTTCAACCTGCTTGATTCTGTGATTCTGCAAACTGGTCACTTGCTATGTTTGTGAAAACAATTCAATCTCTCTGTGGTCTGTCCTGGTTAAAGTAATTGGATTAACGTAATGGCTGTCCCAGAGACAGTGAGGTCATGGATACACTGCCCTATGAATCAGGCCTGAGTTAAACTTCTGTGGTGACTTGTGAGTGGTGGAAGTGAAATGAAATGCAGTTTATGTTAATAATGTRTTCTGATAATGTTTGTAATGGAGGGGTTTTGTTTAGTTATAATTCAGTCAATTAAACCCGTCTAACAAATAAATTAGAACTTCTACAGAGGGCTAAACTTGCCAATTTTTTCCCAGAGTTAACTCTATTTACTTCAAATTCCCCCTTAATGCCACTGTGGGGATAATGGTATTAGTATTCCAGGTTGATTTATATTCTGCATGCATAGTCTGAAGAGAGCAATTACATTATCTCAAAATAGATTTTCCAGTTATGGTGCTATGATACTGGGAGATCATTTGCAAGTGAATAGGTAGGCTCAGAATTGGCAGCTCAGGAGTTGATGTGTGGCTGAAATGCTGTAAGCCWTACTTGTAGTGTGGCCTTCCTTCCCAGCAGACTGAACTGAAAAATTTCTCAATCTCTTTTAGAACCTGTAGGCTTGAAGTGACCAAATACAAAGAAAGGCAAATTAGTAGGTTTGAAACTAGCATTGACACTTTCATCAATAAAACAGTTGATTTAAAAGATTGCGACTGCTTCTATGTATTTCTGGAATCTAGTTTAATTTTTTTTTTTCTTTCTTCTTTTTTTTGGTCCAATGTATAGTTCTACTTCTGTACTCTGAGCCTTTGGAAAATTGTTGTGAAGTTTAGAAAAGAAAATATTCTTAGATCCTGGATTTTTCTATACTGAGGAATTGTGGTCTACAACTCGGTCACAATGAGGCGAAGTTCAAGTATTGCTGGAAGCAGCGGTCGGCAATCTATGATGGCACTGAGAGTGCAGGACAACAACAAGATGGGTCTTCAAACACCTCAGATGTAAGTTTTGCTGATCATGTTGCTAAAAATAAGTATATAAAACTAATTCTGAAGAGATTTATCATAGTGTGTGAGTAGCACACATTGAGTGTGTGAGTAGCAACTGAGGTGAAAAATGGAAACAGTGAGAAGTAGGCTCTTTGCAGCCAAGGATGTTTGCACAAGTGCTCCAGTTTTGCAATAATACTTCCTTTAACTTTTTTGTGTACCAAATGGTAGAATTTTCTTACATGTTTCTTTGGAGGTTGCTGGGTGAATCAGTTAACCTTTCTAAGATGTTGCTGTGATGAATGCGCTTAGGCATATATGAGTGTGGGTATATCTCTTGTATAAGACCAAAAGATGAATTGGTAGATATAGTCACTTGAATCCTTCTCTCTGTTCCTCAGGAAGGACAGAAGCACCTTTGGGAAGCCRAGCACGAGCAAACCTACATCTGGAGCTTCAGAAAGAAAAGTCAGCATTTTTGGGAAGAGGTATGGATAGCTTTCGTTTGCTGCACTGTAAAATAAAACAAAAATGGTCCTATGTAATTTTGTCATTTTTCTTTCTTGACAGATTTCCTTTATAAGGAAAGATGGATCTGAGGCAAGCAGACCTTCAGGTCTGCTTTCCTCCAGTCCTTGATCACTGAACAGTAATTCTGTGGAGTTGGAATTGCTTTGAGAGTTGTTTTTTTTTTCTCTTGGGAATGATGTGCACTGCAGACCTTAAGAGTATCTCAAGACATTTTCCTTTTGAGGAAGGATGACTTCTGTAGTATACTCTGCCTTACTTTATTCTTTCTAAGATACAAACCTTCCAAAAATCTATAACCTTTCTGCTTAGCTCATGACTTTGTGTTGTGGGTATCTTCTTTCATAGGACCCCAGTGTTGCACAGGTCTATTCCTTTCAAATATTTCTTAAGTATTTTAATCTTCTTTACAGTCACCAATGTGATTTTTTCTTCATTTTTTGAGGTACTTTTCTGCTCTCTAAAAGATTATTTCTTTCAATAAAATGAAGAAAAGTATTCATCTAGGGTGCAGTAATCCCTTTGTTATACATGTGGCATTGTGGCTTCCAGGTTGATGATGTTTTTCCAATCATCTTAAATTAAGAGAAAATTTCAAGTATCACTTGGTATAACAAATGCRAAGAAAACAGAAAAATTCAATTTTATGTGACTTAGACATTAAGAGAGTTCTTTATATATATTGTCACAAGACCTGTATTTAYTGTTTGTTCTCAGAGGGAGTGGGGCTGCAGGATCACGCAACAGCCAGTATGGCGTGTTCGGGACAGAAAAGATAAAGGATCCCAGGCCACTTCATGACAAGGCATTCATCCAGCAATGTATCAAGCAGCTTTGTGAGGTAACATGGTAGCTTATTCTGCATGTATGTTGTGAAGTTTAAAATGTACTAATCAAAATATTTCTTTTTCTTGGATTCAGCTTCAAGTTTTATTTAGTTTTATTCCATGTTTCTTTTCCGCAGTTTCTCGTTGAGAACGCTTATGCCCATAATGTTTCCATGAAATCGCTACAATCTCCATCAGTTAAGGACTTCTTAAAAATCTTCACCTTTATCTATGGATTCCTCTGCCCTTCTTATGAACTGCCTGACTCAAAATTTGAAGAGGAAATTCCCAGAGTTTTTAAAGAGCTTGGGTAAGATAATTATTGTTAGTCTCCTGGCCTAAATAGATGTGCCCTGGCTAGAAACTTAAAAGCTATGATTTCTGCATGATAGCTGGGGAGAATTGATAAGTCTATTTATTCAGACGAGACTCTAAAAGTGCAATGTTGTGACTGTTCTGTTTCACTTTTCTTTAGCTCTAGGTTTACTCTTTAGTTTTCAGAGCCTACTATACATTTTATATTTGAACTATATTGCAGAACTGTAGGTTCTTCAAATCTTGTTTTGTAAGGTAAAATTTAATTGATTATTTAATATATATTTATATATTTATATAAAACTTTGAGAGGCAGTCACAGTTTTCTTTTTTAGACCTTTGTGTTCATTCTGTTGGAATCTATAAACTACAATTTCCAGAATGTTTGATCCAGTTAATTTAGTTAAAAATATGTTTTCCTGTAATTTTTCTCATTCTGCTTTCAAAGCAGGGTGTGGAAATAACAAAAATGAGTGCTGAGGTGCAAAAAACACAAAGTAGCTGAGTGGTTTATTGCTGAGTTTGTTCCCTAAGTGTTTGAAATCATTAATTCTCCAACACTTTCCAAGAAAGAAAATTCTATGCCTGTTGATAATGATGTATTTTCAATCTAATTTTTTTAAAGATTTTTTTTTATTATGTTTTACTTCTGTAGATTTGAGCCCATTATGGTCAAAGTACCAGGGCTCCTTAAATGTGCATGTAAATCTGTTTTGTTCACAGCGGTGAAACCACTGACCTAGCTTGAAATGTTGGAAAGAATTACAGTCTATTGCACCAAGAGTGTAATCCTGGGTAAAGCAGCTAATTCTGTTAACTCACTTTAAGTTGTCTTTTGAGAGTTCAAAGAGCATCTGAATGGCACTCTTGACCATATGGTTCAGTTGTAGGCAGTTCTGTGAGGAGCAGGAGTTGGACTTGATGATCCTTAGGGTCCCTTTCAAATTATCATATTCTATGAATCACAAAATGAGAAACACATGATAATTGAATAAAATAGTGCTGTAAGAAGTCAGCTTATTTTCTTTGATGTACAGTATAAARTACCATTGACTTTGCTCTTTCTTCWGTACCTTCATCTACATAMAAAAATGTGCTGCTTTGTTTTCAAAATGTGCTGCTTTGTTTTCATCACTGTTTGCCACAGCTATTAAAAATGTATTTTCTTTGGCTTTATAGGTACCCCTTTGCTCTGTCAAAAAGCTCCATGTACACCGTGGGAGCACCACACACCTGGCCTCAGATTGTGACGGCTTTGGTTTGGTTAATCGATTGTGTCAAGGTAACATTTGCCTTCTTTAAGACAAACATTTCCAGTTTCAGGGCTGGAATATTAGTTTCAATGCAGATCTAGTAAATATTTTCTACGAATCTTGTTCAACATTTATGTAAAGAAAAAGGTGTTCTTTTAGGTTAGCTGTCACCTGGAAGCTAACCCTTACCTTTATGTTTTAGTAACTTTTAAATTGAGCTTTTCATGTTATATTATGGTAATTCTTTTCTTTAAATGTATGCACTGGATAAATTTATGTATTAAAAATGGTTGTCTTCACACTTGCTCTTTGTGTACACCCCTGCCTTTCAGCTGTATGCTGCGATGAGGGAAAATGCACCATCATTTGATGAAGGACAGAGCTGGGGAGGAGAGACAGATGATGGAATTGTACATAATAAGGTACCATAAAAAGTAAATTATAATAAGAATTGCTCAACTGAATTTTGCCATGGGCTGTAACAACACAGTTTAAACACAGTTTAGATTGTTGTGTAATGTATTCATAGATCCTGTTTCCTTTTATATTTACAACACTTTCTAGGAAGTATAGTTGCATTATATATAAAGCCTGAGCAGCTATTTCCTGAGCAGCCATCATGGCCAGTCTGTTAGTGAAGACTGGGTATTAAACAGCAATGCCTTATTCTCCAAGTAGTTATTGTTTCAGTTCTCCTTTGTAGAGAATGGAAGTCATTATGCTGTTGATTGTTTTCGTACAGTTTCTGGTATATTTTGCTTTAGCACCCRAGGCTTCTGAGGTTAACAGCAGTGCAGTGTAAAGAGTGATTTAGTTTAAATGTAGTGGCTTCTGCCAATATCTACTCAGTTTACTATATAAAAATTGGTTGTAACATTTTATTTCTGAGCCAAAAAAAGAAGGTAGTAAAGTAATTCAGGTGCTTAAAAATCAAACTATTTCCTTTCTTTTTAATTTATCACAGATTATTAGTACTACCCAGATTTAACTCAGTGTGTTAACTCACAACAGGTGTTTGGAAGGGGCTGCATTATATGCTAAAACATTTAATTAGACAACTAATTAGACAAAAATCAAATTAAATCATGATTTTGGCCTAGGGTTGCGAACCTGATGGATGGTAAGTAAAAATGTTTTTAAAACTAAAGATGTTCTTCTACACTRGTACCTATGCATAGATGTTGATACAAAATTCACACTACTGGTGTCATTGCTTCTGAAACATCTGTAACTTAGCATCTWGCAAATTCTTTTTGGGCAATCTTTCTTTAATTCTAGATCAGTGCTTTGACATCTGCAGATCTGAATTTTAATGGACYTGAAGAGGTCTGTTAAACAGATCTACAGTTTCCATAAACTAACCTGAGAGAATCATATGCATCAAGATAAAAAATCCTTAAATATTGTACCTATAATCCTTGATAAATATTCAGAAAAATATAACATATAACAGACCTTCCTCTAATGTGAATTATAGGTGCCTCCTTCTGCCTGAATATAGTTCTATATTTAAAGGGAGGAAAAAAGTTGAATTTTACAGAAGTACAATCATAACAGTGAAAAATATTTTTGAASTCTGTTTCCTGATTGAGTAGCTCTAGAATGTCTAGATATTTTACAACCCTTTGAATTAAAGATTTTTAAATTGTTTTCAGCTTTTCATGGACTACTCTGTGAAGTGCTATGAGCTTTTCATGAAAGGGAGAGATACTTTTGAAGAATTGGATGCTGAAGTCCAGTCAAAATTAAGTAAGCTTTCAATTTTTAATTAAGTGTTCAATTGCATTACTGGTTTCTTTTCTCCTAGAATCAGTTTGCTTGGTTCACAGGTGAATGTAATCTGAGATAAAGGAACCTGAAATTCCTAAGCACCTTTCAGTTACTTCAACTTAACTATCTSTTTTTTTATGTGTTTTTACTAGTACAGATTGATAGGTCATGATCTGCTATCAGCTGAAGCTATGTCATTTTCTGTTTTTTTAATGGCTTTGTGACAGAAAACCAGTATACAATTCTTCAGATGCAAATTCCATCTGTGCAGATAACTCTTGTTTCTGTCTGACAAAGTTACCAATTAAAAAAAATATTGTCAGAGCATTCACACCTGATAAGTAAGAAAGTTCAGCTTTTGAAAGTTTTGAAAACAGTCTGCAAGTGCTCCAGACTCTGTTTTGCGGGTTCCCATGTATGACTCAGCATGCACCTGTTTGTCTTCAGGGAGGTGGAAAATTATTAGGTTTTTTTGGTTCATTTATTTCACCACCTACAGRAATACAAACAGAATTTGAGAGCAAGGAAGAAAAACATTTCTTCCTTTCTTTACTCTCYTATAAAAAGCCAGATTAAGGGACTTTGCAAACTGGAGCCATCAGTTGGTGAGGAAACAAGCTACCATATTGTTACTGGATATTGGTAGTGAAAAATAATCTTCCTGTTGTCTGGCAAAAACTAAGGAAAGTTAGGRAAAAGATCTCAAGAGACAAGGAAGTGTATGGATGAGAAAATACACAAGTTGGACTRMCTTGTGAAGCTAGAACATACCAAAYTTATTTAACAACCTCTGTCCTATAGTGTGACCTGTAGAAGGGTTTATAAACTTGTATTTCATGGGAGTGGCTTTGAGSTCTTTTCAACATGAGGACTGAGAAATGCATGTCTCTTCTTGTTTGTTTTGGGGTCTTTGCCTAGTTTTATTTTAATGAAAGATTTTTCTCATAGGTTTATTGGTTGTTTTTTAGTTATTTGTTTAGTGTGAAATAGTTGTCCAGRTAAATGGGTATTTATTTTGCTAAAATAAAGTTTAGATACTCCAGTTAGATGGTGATATTAAGTGAGATTAATTTGTAACCCTCTTTTCCCCTCTCCCCCAGAGGATTTATTTAATATAGATGAATTCCAGATAGAAAGTTTAGCAGCTGACAACAAAAGACTTCAAGAAGAGATTGCAAGACTAGAAAAAGAAAAGGAAAGTGAGCCGGTTAGTAAATTGTGTCTCTGTTTATATGGTGGAGTTGAATTTTATATTATCAATCATTACTGAATGAAGATACTTATGATGCATAACAAATGGAAAAATATTTTCATTGCTTTGAGGTTTTAATTAGGCCAGGTTTTTACAGACTCTATGCCATTCTAGTGCAAGGCATTTTCCATGGAGTCTTCAGTCACTACTGGTTTGATAATGTGCAGATATTTCCAGGTGATAAGGTCTTATGTTGACTGAAATATTAACGAAACACTTTAACCACTTTTTTTTTTTTTAATATCAATTCCAACATTATTTTTTCCAAATGTGGTATGAGGCACGGGATTCACCGATAATAATATATTTATGGGGAAATACTTTGCTTGAAAGGCTAGATTCTTCTTTTAAGGCACCATGAGTTTAAAAATGGTTTAGTGGCTGTGCAGCTGACAAATTGAGACTCGTGCCAACTGTGCAAAATGTGCTGGGTTTATTTACAGTTTTCCATGCCCTAGTTTTATCTGCTCTCTATATAGTATTTTACTTAAGTTATGAACTATCTATAATAAAAATTTTCTCAATGCGGTGTCCGATGCAAATGAGAGACTTAATCCTGAAATGCAATAATCTTTTCAGCCTTCTTTGCTCTTATTTTAAAGGTGCTTGACTTGACTCTGCTGTTACAAAGATAAAAAATTMTTAAAGCTCTTTAGTTTTATATATGGGCTACTGATATTGACTCCATTATCTTGTCTGAAAAGTGAAGTCATTATTTGATATTAATTAACAGTGGTTGTTCTTTTCACCTATTTCCTAGGATCGTAGAGTAACGCTGCGAAACGTGAAATCATCTCTTCAAGCAGATGTCCAGAAATACCAGGCTTATTTAGCTAACCTGGAATCTCATATAGCCATCCTTGATCAAAAAATAGAAGGTGTTAATGATGAAGTTGAGACAACAGGTAAGAAGGCAGTGATCACAGTCAGAATGATGAAGCTAGAAATACTTTTAAAATTATTGTACTACTTAGCTTCAGGACAGAGCTTGGAGTATGATGATGCCACAAATAAACTTTCCAGAATGGATTGCTAACAATGATTTGTCTAACAGCAGTTTGTACACTAGAGTAATGATAATGAATAATAGTATTATTTAGTCATAGAATACAGARGTTAGTATAAGTAACCTCTTAAGTATATAAGCTGGTATTTTGTATCCATTTTACAAATGTTTTGTGAATTTAGAAATGGAAGTAGAAGCAATGAAGCAGGAGAATGCCCGGCTCCAGCACATCTTTGATAACCAAAAGTACTCAGTTGCGGACATTGAGAGAATAAATCATGAAAGAAATGAGTTGCAGCAAACTATTAACAAGCTGACTAAGGAAGTGGAAGCAGAAGAACATCAGCTGTGGAATGAAGAGCTAAAATATGCTAGGAATAARGAGGCGGTATGTGAAAACCCCACTGCACTCAGAGGAGGCTATCAGTTTTCATCATGCAAGTTTAAAGTTGGAGTATTGCTAACTTCTTTCCTAAATAATCTAAGAACACCATACATATATTTAACCAGGCTAAACTGACAAGAATGGCCTCTATTTACAACATCTTTAAAAATGGTTTTGKTTTTTTTTCCTCTTTTTTCTGAGTACAATGGAAATTTTTTTTCTTCTGCATTGTAAGAGATGTCGCTAGAATATGCACCACTCTCAGCTCTCACTGCTATAGTATTAAGTGTTTTGATAACATTAGCATGTCATTGCTTTGATAAAACAAGAAATTTCAGGCTGATGTTAATATTTCATAGCAAGGAAGTAAGGCAAAATCAGGGAATTTGAATCAATAGCTTTGCATGCATTTAGGGGCATATTAGTCCTCCATGTAGACGTTGTAAAATCTTTCTAGGGTCAAGTTCAGTCTTTTCAAGCAGAATGAAAAGATTTAGTCCTTTGAGTGTTGGGATTGAAAAGCTTCTGCTTTGCCAGATGGAGAACTAAAGGAAGAAATTCCAAATTTATTTGAAATTTGGCAGGGTTACCCTTTATCAAGCACTTGTATTAACTTAAATTTTTCAAATGCAAGTATGAAAAATACTTGGGTTCTTTACTGTTTGTATATAAATAACACTCATCAATTAGAAATAGCATTTAATGAGTTTGTTTAGAGGCATGCTGAAGTTAATTTGTTTTAAGGATGTGTAGCTGAACATTTCCTGTCAAAACTAATGAGAGAAGGCATGTTGACATGATGACTGATCATTGGTTTAATATTATAGTCAAGCATGTTTTTACTTCCCTATCAGTTAATTCTCAAAAAAATTATGGCAGATGAATATAGAAAACCACAATTGTAACCATTCRGTGTCAGCCCAGCTATATACAGTGAGAAACCTTGCTGAGCAAACACTGAAAGAATCATAAAACAGCACCTAATCCATCAAACTGCCAGGCTGGCATTACACACAGTTCTCGAATACTGTGGTGTAAAAAGGAATCATGTCCRTACAGAGCAACTCATGAACCTGTTTTAAGTACTCTATAAATACTTTTTGCAAAGCTTTTCATTTGTATCTCTCCTRTGATTTCTGCCCTTTTCTCCTCTGAGCAGATCGAAATGCAACTGGCAGAATATCATAAACTGGCTCGAAAGCTGAAATTAATTCCAGTGAGTGCTGAGAATTCCAAAGGCCATGACTTTGAGATTCGGTTTAATCCTGACGCAGGACCAAATTGCCTAGTCAAATATAGAACTCAAATCAAGGTAAGTAGAGTCAACATTGAAGGCTTTTGTTRCCACTCACAAAAATACATGTTTTATTGGAAATATTGAAAAGGTCTCTCAATCTCACAATGAAATGTCATTGAAAAGCTTGTGTGATGAGTCAGCATAACTACATTATGGTATATGAAAGAAATTCGGTATTGGAGAATTCAGCAGCCTGTATAAAAATGGAAGGAAAATACCTACTGGGGTGCATCTTGGTTCAAACAAACAAATTGCAATAGCCAGATCTTCTTGAATGCATATTACAGGCTCCCCTCATGGAAATCATCAACCAGACTGAGGAAGAAATTAGAAGAGCTATTCAAAGGAAAATTACTTTGGAAGATACTTTGGAACAGGTGTGTTGGTTAATGAAGATTAGGACTTATCTGCTGATTTCATTCAGCCTTTTGCATGGTTGAAGTCTGGGCTGGTTTATGTTTGGGTTGGTTTGTTGGATTGGTTGGGGTTTTTTTTTGGGGGGGGGATGGGGGGGTTGAGAGCAAATAGAGGGGAAGAAGCTGAGTGAATTGCTTTAATTATGATGGAACCTAAAATTTTTTCTAAGAATTGGGGTCTTTTTCTCTTTGTTGACAAAAAATTGTGTATCCCCTGCATTAAAGTTTATGTAACTTACATATATTTGACCATAAACAATGGAAATATTTGTTTTTAATAAGTTGCCCATTCCAGTCAGTTGTGTGGTTTGCCATCACTGACAAATTGTCATCAGGAAGATTTTTAGCAATATTGAGTTCMGGATGGATTGGAAAGAAGGAGAATTTTATTTCCCTGTTCTCCTACCTCTACTTCAGTTTTTACTRCTGAGCATGATGTTATGTGGTATGGAATGTCCTTTTGGCCACTGGCCTGGCTATGCACCTTCCCAATCTCTTGCCTATCCTACCTACCCTACTCAATGAGGAGCTCTGGSAGATATAGAAAACCTTGGAATGCTGTGCAAGCACTATTCAGCAGTAGCCAAAATATTGGTGTGTTACCACCAGTTTTAGCTCCTTATCCAAAACAAAGCCTGATACAGGCTGCTATGAAGAAAGTTAATGCCATCCCAGCTGGCTTAGTTTATATTTTTTTCTGAGCTACCAGGTGTTGTTTGTGATATCATGGATTTATATGGATTGGAATTCTTTTTGAACTATCTTTCCTTGGTTGTGTTTTCATTCTAGGTGAATGTAATGGTAGAGGACACAAAAAGCAGTGTGAAAACGCTGACAGAAGAGGCTGAAAAGCTGGATGATCTTTACCATCAGAAGCTTAAGGTAGAACATTTTACAGGTGGATGACAACTTATCCTTAATGTTATCCTTATCCTTARTCTTTGTATTCATAAATAAGTTTTTGGTTTTCATATTTGTTTGGGCCTCTGCCATTGCCTTCTTCCACTCCTCTTCCAGGAGGAAGTTTTTCATTCTTTTTAGAAAGAAATTTGACTGCTWCCTTAAGTGAGTCAATTTTCACTTTCTTTTGGAATTCTCTTGTAAGAGAATATGGCATCATACTGTAGGAGATCCTGTAAATCATAAAGTATTGCATCCAGTAATAAAAGCAGTAGCATTCAGCTGACCTTAGAGATGTGCTCTTATGCACCYCAGAGCATGTGCTTGAAGGAGATTTTAGGATTAACAGAATTTCCCTTGTCTATTCAAATTGTATCTAATAAGTACATTCACAGTTTTTAGTAAACATGTTTAATCAGCTTCTGTAAAAACTAAGGAAAACACTGATTGACCAAAAGCACATTAATTGTTTTTATGACCTGAAACCATTGCTTGCTTTAGCTTCCGTTCCCAGCACAGCAGCAGTCCCTATTCTTTATCTCACTTGTAGTTCAGCAACAAAACATAGCCCCCTCTCTGTTAACAACTGAGTGGCTACTTTGTCAACTTCTSTTGACACCATAACTTTAGTGGGGCTGTGGTGCCCTGCAGAAAAATGTCCTCTGAACTAAGCTAGTGTTCACCATATATGCTCCTGTAAATCCAARTTCCTGTGGTACAGCCATGAAACAGAGTTATTTCACAGCTAATACCTGCTGAGCTGGCTAAAGGCAATTAATTTAGTTTATTTTTTTCAAAACCACATGAAATTTTGATCTGTGCTCTTTCTCTAAAGGTAAGCTCATAAAATACACAGTTGCCACCGGATGTTTACATTAAGGCATAGTTGTGTAATTCCCCTTGTAATTTTTAAAATGCTGTGTGTAAGTCTTAAGTATTAAAATTATTTTTGAAGGATGATGTTTCAGTAATCTGCCAGAACTGCACGTTGATTTGACAGCAGAATYTTGTTTGACACTGTGGATGCTACACAATCCACAAAACCATTCTCCTTGAAGAGATGGTTAGTTGGAATTTTTAGTCTCTTTCAGACCCAAAAAGGAAAAGCTATTTTCTTGCTCAAATGTGATTTTATTTTTTTAACCTAGAAACCGTTGTTCATGATATGCCATTTCTAAGCTATTTAGACTACGTAAATAACATTTTCTGAGTTTAACTTTGAAGGGAAAATAGCTGCAACACAAGCCCTTAAATATGGTTAAAGCTGTAAAGAGCAGGTTAGACTCATTCTGGGATGGACATGATACAGAAAATACCTGAAACTTTAAGTTTGGGAGGGATGTCCTTGGAGGCTCTTTTTCCAGTTCTGAAGTTGGAGTTATTTGTGTGAATTTTGAATTCAARTATTAGCATATAATCAGGTAATAGAAAAAAAAATCAAATTATTCCTGAGCTATGCAATTTTTTACCCTCCTTCCTTGTGRCTATAGGAGACAGAAGAGGAAGAGCAAAAATGTGCAAATGAACTGGAAGCATTAAAGAAGCATAAACAATTACTTGAGAGTGGTGTCAATGAAGGTCTCAGTGAAGCCACAAATGAATTGCATGATCTCCAACGACAGTAAGAGTCATAATTTCAATGTTTACTTTGTTTATTTTGGTTTTTAAGGATAAAGATACTCTCTTGAACCAAATATAAGGTTGTTTCAGCATGTATCCATCTCAGCATGTTAATTTCACAAGTTAACAACTGAACAATGTTTCTCAATAGTATTTTGCTAGAACATTTATCTGCTGTATCCGAACTTCTGTTTTCTATGTAACTTTTTTATATATGGTTGTAGCAAGGAAATTAGTTTGTTTCCATATTTATATGACAACTGCATTTTATACCTTAAAGTCTGCAAAGAGTATCCTGACTAAGGTAGATTGTTTCTTACCAGTTAGCACAGAACAGTCTTTTTTTTGTTGAGTGTTAACATACAAATCTAACTTGGTTTAAGTTAATTCTACTGAAAAAAAGGTATGGCTAAACGATGATCAATCAGACTTGAAGTGATGATTTTAAATGTCAGGAATTCTCTAATTATGGGCATGACCTTCTGAGTACCTTTACCTTTTAGATATCAAGTTGTTTTGCAAACAACAACAGAAGAGAGCAGAAAAGTTGGTGGCAACTTGAGTCGTCTTATAGAAACGATTGCTGCTCACATAGCATCTATAGCGGTAAGCTCAAATTTGATATTCACAATTTAATCTAGAGACATTTGCAACTRCAGTTAAACATTTGCAAATTACAAGTTGCTCTTTCTAAGGAAATAGCAATTATTTAGCTGTTGCACTGACTCCACGGTTTCTAGTTAAATTTGTTGACAAAACCTTTTGTGTAAAWAATCAAAATGGATCGTTAAATTTCAGCAGTAACACCCTGTCAGGTTGAATCTGCTTCTTGTAGATGTCTTTCGGGAAAGTGTTTAACTGAAATCAGTAAACCTGTGAATGACTGCTTAAAATGCTTTAGCAGAATCAGTACAATACAGACAACAATAGATCTAATAAAACTTTCTGTAACTYTTTTCTAGAAATACCTTGATGAACAGAATGTGAAAATTCACAGAGACTATGAAGAATTCATGTCTGAAGATCAATTGTCAGAYTTGACCAAAATTCTAGACAGTTATAGAAAGAAGGCTGAAGGTCTCTAATCACCGAATAGGTCACAGTGAAAATTTTACATTTCTGAAGCTCTGGTATGGTGCCTTCTAAAAGGATGGGTACTACCTGTGTTTAGCACTGAAACTGGTTTTAAGTGTAAGGAAGTATTTATCAACTTTCTTTGTTTAATTGAATAAATACATCAAAGAATTAAGCAATATATTTGCATTTTATTGAAAAAGGCTTTCTTGCACTTCATAATTTCAGTATCTTATACATGCTCACAACCATCTGTGACAACTGTGGAACAATTGCATTTTGTTTYTTCTTTATAATCAAGTCATTTTCTAGTAACATCAGTAAAACAGGAGCACAGCTAGTCTGCTAAAATAACAAGGCAAAATGAACATCAAGATGGAACAGCAAGTAATAACGCAAATGCAGARGGCACTGACAACTTTGAATACTGCTACAGTTTTTGTAAACATGCAGAATTGCTAAATGATAAGTTATGCTTTCGTTTCTAGAGTATAGATTGTGCATTTCACAGTAWATGTATGCCTTTAGGGCACATGCAYGACAGACARTTCACATCCTTCCCCAARCCTTTCTTTTARTATGCCTCATACTTGTTCAGTTATCTATGAAACTGCCCAGAAACTCCTCTTACGTGAGTGAGGTTTTTTTTTAAATGAAAACATCTTTGAAAAGATGACTAGTCCTTGTATAATAGTTTTTAAATCGAAAAAGAAAGATAGTAATTTGAAAGCAAAGTTTTGTCTCTAGGTGTTCATAATCCTAGATGAAACTTCACTGAACTTCTTGAAATATGTAGCAGACAAAGCTCTRTGTTAGGACATCATATGCATTCTGTCTGTATATCTAATCAATTGTAGATTTGGTTCATGTTARATACATCAAAATGGTCTAAAATGTCTGTATTCTTGTTAGACAGACTCTATTTGATTTTTCTTCCTCAGTAAAGTAACAGTAAATTTAGTGTATGGGGAGCTCTGGTCCAAATGCTTTGAAGAAAACATTATCAATGCTATGTGAAAGTAGTGTCTTTTTATCTACTCTGTGTATAATTTTGTGTTAGAAAAATAAATAGATAAAACCTAGCATTTGTGTCTTGGGCAGTTTATGATGGTATTTCTTAATGAAAGCATTGAAGTATTTGAGTGTAGCTTTTAGAGCTCAGACATTCAAATACACAAAGATAAAAGCAGTTGTTTAAAGGTTTTTAGCAGCTGATCGATAAAGGAAGTTGCTCCTTAATTCCACAACTGGGCACAATATTTGAATGAAATACACATCTCTAGGATATACAACAAAACTTGAGTTAGACCATTTAAACACACTGCAAATAAAAACTGAATTGTCTAATTCTAGGCTATTTTGTCAGAATGAGTTTAAAACCTCATTGTSCTTAACATAGTGTGTGAATCTTCTGGCTCTGGTATGAGTATTTTGTTTCAGACATKATGATAATGATGACATTATTTAAGCTTTTAATTTTCTGTTCTTTAGCTATACTCCAGAAGTTTGACAGCTAGAAAGGTTTTCTGACAGGTGGAAAGATTTTTGCTTTGTTCTGATGACATTTTTTTTTATCTTTACAGACACATACTTTATGTTTTCTTTAACCAGCTAGTCCTTACTATATCTCATTTTTTTTACTTTAGAAGTTTTCTTTCTTTTGTGATCTTTTTAACATTGTTATCTAAAGCAACATTTTTCTAATGTCGCAAAACTATGAGTCAGATAGGAGAACTATGTTCCTATAAAGTSTGTGTTTATTTAGGGGCTATGCTCTCTCTTGGCCCCCTCACACCTCTTYGTCTCTGCTTCTGTCACTGACTGATCTTGTGTTTCTCAGCAGCTGCAGGTTCCTCGCCATGTGTAGTAGTCAGTTGATTAAATGAAAGCAAAATAAATGGCATTTCCAAGGACTTTATATTAACCCTAATCAAAATGGGTTAAAGAATCAAAATCACGATGCCTTCCCTTAATGCACTGGCCAACGTAATATTCTGAAATTCAAGTAGTCCAAGTAATTTAAAAAATCCCTGTTTATAGCACTGGCAACATGTTCTTGTTATTAGTCTGTATGTTGGTTATGTTGGTTATGCTAAACTGCCTTTAGAACCATCTGAGTTTTGGACTTAGGTTCTGTAAAATATCTGTGGGGATTTTCTTTGTAATCCAACAGATCAGCATTAGCCAATGTTTGTTCAGTACCATGTCTTCRCAATTTAAAAATTGAGGGAATTTTTTAATCCTTTGTTTTTAATCCTGTTTTAATCCTTTTAATCCTTGCCTCCTCTCTGATTTTGGAAGTCAGGTAGTCTTTTTTGGTTTGTATTCTGGAATATGGCTTTTAAATTCAGRCAGTAGGCACTTGAATGTAGTTACTGCTCTTGATTTTGGTTTTATTTCTTTTCTTATTGGAATATAAAGTCTTCATGAAAATGTACCATGGCACCTGTACATTTCAGTAGTACGAATCATTTGTAAATTTTTCCTTTTGTATGGATACAGTTACCTCATTTCATGCTAGTGTACCTTTTGTACAGTTTAATGTATCAAATTTTTGTATTTTTATACTCAATAAAATTTCTTATGCCTGTTTCTATGAAGGATGGATTCTTACTGCAAGTGGAGAAATATGACCTAAAAACCCAATTAATTTGGYTTTTCTAGAGGAGCTAGATGATCATCTTAGCAGCAGATACTCCCTGACTATCCTTGCTATTGAACATGCATTRTGTCGAGGAAAAATAAAATACAGGAACATTTTCCTATAAGATTTAGAGGAATAAAAAGGAATATCTACTTTTTAAAAGTAGATAGTTTTWAAAAAATTATTATGAACACATAAGGGCCAAGCTGCTTTGATAATGGTTTATGTGATATCCTTTTGGCATTAATCTCACTCACCAACCTTCTGCTATCTTAACGTTAAATAACTTTCCTTTCCATGACCACCCTTGCATCTGCTTTTTTTCTATTTAGCTATAAAAAAATAACACTTGATGCTGTAGAAGCATGCTCGAGCTCTGTCAATAGCCTTCTTCTTTTCCCTAGAGCATGTTGTTTTTTCAAATTTTGGTAGTTCTTTTTTGGAGTGTTTCTTGAGTGCATCATGTAGATTCCTTCAGGTTGGAAAGGACTTCTGAGTTCACTGAGTCCAACTGTTAGCCCAACAATGCCACATCCACCACTAAACCATGTCCCTGAGTGCCACATCCTCATGGCTTATAAATGCCTCCAGGSTGGTGATTCAACCACTTCCTTGAGCAGCCTGTTCCAATGCTTGATGACCCTTCTGTGAAGAAATTTTTCCTAATAGCCAATTTAAACCTCCCCTGGTGCAACCTGAGCCTGCTAAGGCTTTAACTTTGCAGTKTCTGTTCAGCTTGCATATATGAGGCTGCTGGAACCCTCCTGATTGGTTTTGCCAATGTACAGCAGTGCATGCCTATGCAAGCCTTTACATCTGAACTGGGTAACAATATGTGCTCTGTAAAATTTCCAAGAGTTTGCCTACTTTGACCTTTAATGGACRTTCTCATCCATTCTCTAACTTCTGTGGTAGAATTTAAAAAACAGGTATTTTATTTTATCTTTTGAAAGAGTACAAAATAAAAAGCTGAAGACATTCCCTTTTCAAGAAAACGGGAGAACTCCTTCAATGCAATGCTCTACAGCAAAAAAAGACCTCAGGTCTCTCATGCCCAGTGACTGTAAAACAATGGAGATTTTGTGAACAAGAGTGCTGCCTATTCCTACTCTACAGATTATTTGGTATGCAAGTATTTTGTGCACTGCAAACAATCTGAAGAGACTATATATGTAATCTTTCCACTCTTCTCTGGGGTGTGCTGGTTTGCTTTAATACTGGAAACTTTAATGTATCCTTTAGAGCCTGCCTCTTTTTGCAATAGTAGAGAACAGGGAATTTACTTGTCTTTTCAGTACTTGCTGTCTACAGATTTTTAGCTGTGAGAGGATTCTGTTTTAAGTGCTTGTTGAAAGTTTTGAGGGTATTCATTSATTTATAAGGAATGGAAGAAGCACAGAAGACACACAGCCCTCCGTGTCCCCACTGGATGAGGGACTATCAATGCCTTAGCCAATGTCATATCTAAGGGAAGTGCGCTGACATATCCAGTCCTGTATCAGGAGATGATTGGCAGAGATCAATCACTCAGCCTGAGAAAACTTAATTTTTTTGGCTGACTTTTTTTTTTTTTTTTTTTTTTTATTTGAACTGTTCACTGGATTTTTCTAGACATGACAGATGCCAGGTCTGTTGTGCACTAGTGCCCTCTGGAGAGTGGACCTTTCCTGAATCTTGATTCATACAGGTCTACCAGTCCCAGTAGTTGCTTGATTGATAGACAGAATCACCTGTCTGTCTACAGGATGACTGGCTACACTGTGCCTCCATTCCAGAAGTTCTTATCAACAGCTTCATGATCACAAGGAGCCTTTGTGATGTGTGGTCTGTATGGTGTTTCCCRTAACATCTCATGCATGACACTGCAGTTTTAATTGGTAGTGATCTCATAAGCATTTTCRTCTCAGAAGCCCTCTGCACAACATAAAGATTTAAAAGGCATATGAAATTGTCTGTTACTCCAACTTCACCTCTAAAGAAACATTTATCAGTTTGGCAAGACTCCAAAACAGAAGGAAAGACAAATGGTGATGGAATGTGTATAAATGTTTTGAAACAAGCAAGATGCATGCCTTTTTATTTCACTTTCTTTTCAGAATATGAATGCCTTTGTATTGGTAGAAATCATGTGGTTCTTCTGAGAACACTGAACACTAGTACAGTCATGCATGACAACTGGTATGCCCAGCTGAAAGGAAAGGCATTTCCTATCCTGCCTGGAAAAGTTTATCTGCAGTTACTAGCTCTAATTATCTGGCAGGTCTTAGTTAACAATGGACATTATATTACATTTGAAATGCAGAGAAGACATCAAATAATGGGGTGTGTTTGACTAGTACTGCATAGTGACTTATTGCCCTCTTCCCCCCTCCCAAGGGTTGGGCAATCACTCGTAATAAAGTCATAAAGGAAGCTGCGGAGTTGAGTCACACAAGATAAGAAAGGGAAAACCACAGTTAGAAGTTGCACTGTTCAGACAAGTGTAGGGTTTTTTATGAGGAAAAGAATTTGGAAGATATAAAATTTTAAAGGTATAAACAAGAAATCAAGGAATGACAATTCAGCATTAATGAAATTCTCTTCCAGCAGCTGCTGGATGTTTTGATTCCTTAGAAGCTATTTTGAGTGTTTTATTGGGGATGCTGAGAACACAAATGCTTAGCTGAGAACCTCCTTAAATCACATCTGTCTTTTGTGTGWGCTTGTATTGGGTTTGTATGGCCAGGTTTTGGTAGCAGAGAGGTGACAGGGGTGGCTTCTGTGAGAATCTGCTGGAGGATTCCTCCATGCCAGCAGAGCCAATGCCAGGCAGCTCCAAGATGGATGTGCTGCTGGCCAAGACTGGGTCAAGCAGAAATGGTGGCAACACCTCTGTGAAGAAGGAAATAAAAAGGTTATTGTGCAGATGAAATTGT